ACAGTCACTCAGTACTTACCAGAGTGAACGGGGAAGCCACTTGCTTTAGGTCCTTCAGTTTGCCAATGAACACATCAATCCTCTCAGCTACGGCATGTTCCATTGCCTACCACGAACAGAATGAAAACACCAGACCTGGAAGTACACCTCACGCCCCAACCCTCTCCCACATCTATCACCTCGATGAGCACACTGACATCAACCTTGGAGTGAGAGCAGAGGGACCCAAACTTCAGTGAGATACAACCACAAATCTGAAGTTTATACATGGTGCTGGGGTAGGAGGGAGGGCTTATTTTCTCACTTATTCTACCATTTAGCTGTAACTCCAGCTCCACCAGGATCTGTTGCTTCTGGCCTACAAAGGCATGTGCCATCACATATACATACCCATGCACAGGCACATAACACGTAATTAAAAATACATTTCCTCTAAAAATTCAAAATCTTGTTATGCCTCTCCAGTCAGTTAGGGAGACAGATGACTATGAGTGCAACTACATTATTTCTGTAATAAGAAATATAGATATAAAAGAATACCCAGGAAGCTGGAGATAACCGAAAGGCTTCTCCAAGGTAATGTAACATTGTCTAAGGCGAAGCCTGAGTGTACACTGTGGGACGGACATAGAGAAATAGCACCTTTATTGCTTTGTCCAAAAGTTCCCCAACATTTGGACAGACACAGTTCAGCTAATTGGAAGGCTGACTATTTTAACACAAACAATAATTTGTAGTTGGTTGCTTTTGCTCTTTTTATTCTTTGGGGGGCCCATCACCCAGCTCCCAAATAAATCACACACACACACACACACAGAGTCTTATTTTTACTTATAAATGCCTGGCCTTAGTTCAGCTTGTTGCTAGCCAGCTTTTCTTAACTTAAATTATTCCATCTATCTTTTGCCTCTGGGCTTTTACCTTTTCTTACTTTTGTATATCTTTTTTTCACTCTTACTTCATGGCTGGCTGTGAGGTTGGCCCCTGGCATCCTCCTCTCCTTGTTCTCTTGCTCTTTCTTTTCTCCTCCCAGATTTCTCTTTCTATTTACTCTCTCTGCCTGCCAGCCCTGCCTATCTTCTCTCTGGCCTAGCTATTGGCCATTCAGCTCTTTATTAGACCATCAGGTGTTTTAGACAGGTGCAGTAACACAGCTTCACAGAGTTAAACAAATGCAACATAAAAGAATGCAACTCGCCAGGTGGTGGTGGCACACGCCTTTAATCCCAGCACTCGGGAGGCAGAGGCAGGCGGATCTCTGTGAGTTCGAGGCCAGCCTGGTCTACAGAGCTAGTCCAGGACAGGCTCCAAAGCTACACAGAGAAATCCTGTCTTGAAAAACACACACATACACACACACAAAAGAATGCAACTCATCTTTGCATCATTAAACAAATGTTCTACAGCACAGCACAAACAAATGTAACACATCCTAAATTAATATTCTACAATAAATCCTTGTTGCTGCAATTTGAGAAAATCCCTGCTCACCCGTCGTGTGGGCTGGTCCTGTTCTAGGCCAGAGATTGCCCGGCTGATCAATCCTTCAACGGTGGTCAGAGCTTGTGAGTGAAACACAAGACAAGTGAGTGTTAGCTTGCTATCACACGTCTGCATGACCCTCAGCACTCTACCTGAACCCTGCAGGCCTGGCTTTCCTCATCTGTGCAGTTCTAAAACAAGTGCCCCCCGGTCTGTCTGACTGCGACTCTCGACCACTCTCACTCTCAAGCAATTCTGCCGTAACCTTCCACGCACGCTAAAGCACGAAAATCCACTACGATTACACAGCCAAACATAAGCCGCTAGGCCTGACCTGGCACCCGGCTTTTCGAGAAGATAGGTAACATTTCGGCAATGTGTGCACAGCTCACATACCTGATCTGAAGACTCACCTCCCTTCTGGCTGAAAGCTGGAATTTCAAAATCCAGCTCCGGGATCCTTGTGGTGGCAGAGTCCGTCTTCACCACTTCTCTGTTCATGTCCTGGACAGAAAGGAAAAACGTTCTAGCAAAAGAGGTCAGCAATATGGCTTCTCTTTGGGAAATAAACAGCCAGGCTGTTTCTCCTTCGCTCCTTCCATCGAGAAGGGTCCAAACTACTTCAGAACAGTGCATATGGTGTGAGCCAGAATGCCCAGAGGCCGAGAACATTGCCCATAAAGTCCTACTCATTCATTCCATGCCTCTCACAAAATTCAAAGTACTTTAACCACAGAACAGCCGAGCAGGGGGCAGCACTACCAATGCCACTGCCAATGGAGGGCACTAAAGGCTTGGCCACAGGGATTTACTGGAGGTCCGATGGCCCGGACCACAGCTGTTGACTCTGGCCTCCAGTGCTCTCTCTGAAACCGTGGGGTCGTGCCTCTTTTGGGCTACACTCACCTCTTGGCCCCTGACGGTCAACGTGTAGCGCACTCCCTGGTCCTGGATCCTGCCTGCTGACTGGATCTCCGTGTTGTTCCAGCCACAGTGCTCGCAGAAAAAGGAGCTCACGATTATTTCTCTAAAGAAGGGGATCTTGGTGAGCAGAAGGCGCGTCGTGCCCTAAGGAAGCAGAAGCAGCGAGGGTTAGAATGAATGAAACTCATTTGCCCTCCGTACGCCAGGGCTGCCTCGGGATGCCCGGCTGGGTGGTCCCCCGGCCCCAGACTCCGCACCCCCGACTCACGTTCCGGTAACAGTTCATGCACAGCGACTCGATCTCGGTGGGCTGCTGCTCCTCATCCTCGGCGCTGAGGGGCCGGAACAAGGGCCCCGGGGCTGGCGATCCAGCCGCGGAGGGCGAAGGCCCAACAGCAGCCCCCGGGGGCCCGGGCTGCACAGCCCCGCTGGCAGACATCACCCCGCGCGCTGCTCAGGCAGCAGCTTCCGGCTTCCGCAGTTCCCCTGGCATCACTTCCTCTAGCTGCTGTTCCCGCCCCTTCTTAAAGAGGCCACAGACCCTTTGCCTGCTAGGTCAGCGTCTGACAAAGACTTCCGGTTCCTGGGTCATGCGGACTGCACTTCCGTAGCCGGACGGGAGTATTGCAGCTCGCAGCGAAGTCCATGTTTGGCTTCCTGGTTGTGGCTCCACCACATAGGGAGCCTAACCATTGGTCCCTAAGTCTATGTAAAAATGCCCGAGCACAAGAGTACCTGCATGCCTTGGAATCACCTAGGCTGTGCCCTCCAAACTCTGCTTGCTTCGTGATACCTTGCTTGGGTACCCTGTCCAGGCTGCTCAGCTTCTCCCCCTTCCCCTCTCTGTTCCCCCAGCTCTCTATTTCTGTACTCACAAGCATCGCCCCTCATTCTAACCTTGAATGCGCAGACCTTGTTTTTACTACTGCATCCCCCGGTTTCTCTCTCCCCATTTCCTAACAAAACACCCTGCTTTAGCGGGTTCTTTCAAGTTTTCTTCCTAGCACTTCCTCCCACGTCTTGGACCACAACCCAGTTCCATGGCTGAAACTGGCTACATCTATAATATCAGGGATGACAAGTGTGTGATCGCGTGGAGTCCAGCTCCACACAGGGTCTGTGGTGGGGGCTGAGGTAGGCTGAGCGGGGAGGAAAGGGTGCTGGGCAGGGCAGAGAAGCTCAGAGAAAAACTTTTATGCTTTCCTCTTTCCCCACCTCATCCAGTTTCACTGGTCCCAGGTGATCTTTGCTATCGGAGTGAGTGTGTACACGAAGAAAGAGAGATATGAATTTTGGGGTCTCCAAGCATGGTGGCGCATACTGTTAATCCCAGCACTTAGGAGGCAGGGGCAGGCAGATGTCTGTGAATTTGAGGCTAACGTGATAGTGAGTTCCAGGCCAACAAAGACTACATGGTGAGATCTTGTGTCAGAAAGAGAGAGAGAGAACTGGGGAAGAATTAGTTTATGGGTCCTAAGAAGAGGGTCAAGAAGCCACGAGGAATCTGGAACACCAGGAGCAGGGGCGAGAGGACCTCTCAGGGGTTTCAGGTAACCAGGGCATGCTTGTCCAGTGTCAGGCTGCGGTCCATGCACACTGTCCTGTGACGAGTAGGCTGTGGAACAAGACTGGTGCAGAGGCAGAGTCTGTAAGCCAGCCAGCCTGTTCCACCCCGAGTGTGAGAGCTATTGTCTAGCCAGGAGTCCCGTGGCAGAACTCACCCAGGGTGGACCCCTCTGACAGACCAGGAATGGAAAGGGGACCATGAAAAAGAGCAAGCAAGGGGTAAGAGTGGAAAATGGGTGTGTCCTAGGGGTGGTGGGAAGGCAATTGCTCTCAGACATGGTCCAATGAGAGTCACACCAGGCCAACAAACTTCTTCCAACATGAGTCTCTATTTCATTTCAACCGAAAGTCAGTTTCACACTGAGAGTCAGGATGTGGGGACTGAAGATGGGGAGGGCACACAGGATGCTCCCTACAGGGTTTTGGAAGTCCTCACAGTGTGGAGGGCTCAGTTCCTTGTATGGGTGCAGAGTTATCTAAGGAAATAGGGGCTCCGCCCCATTGCGTCACTGACCCACCAGCAGTACCGCTGGCGGGGATCTACACACACCATAGTACGCTTTCTCCATCATATTCTTCTCCTGCTCTCTTCCGACAAAAGCTCTCAGGGTAGCCCAGGGGAGACAAGAGCTCCTCTCTGTGGACCAGCTGTGACAGTGACCATCAGGCAGCCAGAAGTAACAGGAGTCAAACTCCAGGTTGTAGTGGCACAGGCTTCCAGCACTGTCATGTACCGGCTTGCAGACAGTCTCCCCCACACATAGTCTCCCCACACCCTTCACCCCGAATGTTGCAACTTGTGAGGATTCCCAAATGAGCACCAGAAGCTGGATTTGCAAAACCTGGTGAATGTAATGCACCTGGGTGGGGGAGTTGAGGAGGCTGAATAGGTTGAGGCAGCACCATCTGGTGGCATCACCTATACTGTGCAGGACCCTCCACCCTCTGCCCAATAGGCCATGCTAGAGGCTCAGGATCTAGGCATCCCCAGACAATGAGCTGGGGAGTGAACCTGAGCGAGTAGACCCTCAGGGCTCTCTCAGCTGGCTATGACCCTGGTCGTGAAGGCTATAGGTAATATCTTCCCACAGGTCATCCAGTCGGCTCTGCAGTCTGCTCAAGGCCTTGTTGCTACTGTCTGAGTGTCCCAACTCAGGAGCGAAGGCACTGTGACTAGGTGGGGGTGGTGCTAGCTGCTGCTGGACTTCCTCTGTCTCCCGGTCAATGGCGCGAGTGAATGCAGCGATCTGTAGGAAGGTGTCATGTCGAAAAGCCTGGAGTCTCTGGCGGACCTCCTCAGAGAGAGCCTGGGGGTCCGGGGAAGCTCCATCCTCTGCCCCATCTGCGCTGGCGCCAACGAAGGCACTGAGCTCCTCGCGCAACTGGTCCAGGTTGCGCTGGATGCTGGTGTGCAGGTCCTTTGCCTTAAGTGTGAGTTTGTGGGACAGGGTCTGCACACAGCGACTGAGTCGCGCGGGGCTGGCAACCGCGTGAGGAGCGACACTGCGATGCAGCTCCTGCACATGGTGCCCAATGCCAGTCACCAAGCGCTCTGCGTAAGGGTGGAAGAGTTCTTTGACCCGGTCGGTGTGGTGCCGCACGCGACTTTGCATTTCCTGCAACAGGCTCAGCGCCTCGTCCACGCCCCCCAGCAGCTGAGCCTTGGTGTCTTCACCCATCAGACGCAACTGCTCTTGTAGCTCCTGCACACCCAGGCCCACCTGCTCCATCAGCTCCACGGTGTAGGGCTTCAGCTGCTGCCTCAAGCCCTCCAAGTTCCAGCCTACCAGCTCATGCTTTGCAGCCATGTAGGGCTCCAGGCGAGCTCTCACCTCCTCCAGCTCCTGCTGCAGCTGCTTCCTCATGCCTTCTGGATCCTGTGCCAGCTGGGGAGGCTCCTTCCCGGGCCCGCTGGAGGGGTTCAGCTTTTCTAGCAAATTGTTCACATTGTAGAGGTCTTGCTCGAAGCTGTTTTTCATGCTCCTGGAGAAGGAGAAAGACAGAGGACCAGGCCATTAGACTGCTGGCCCTGAACATTTCCCTTGCCCCAGAGCATGGGACAGCAATACTCTGTAGAAACCAGGACAGGCAGAGTGGCGGGAGAGCCAGAGTCTTTAGTCTTAATCCCAGCCAACTACATCCTCAGATTCAGAGCACAATCATGACATTGTGTAGGCAACTCAGTTCAGCACCACGACACCATCCAAGAAGATGTCACACACATGTCAAGATTCACACCACCCTGCCATTCTATGGCCCGCTAATCTCAGGTGCCACACCTCAGTGGAAAAGAGGGCAGCAGGGTAGGAGAGACTTGGGCAGAGGGTGACCAAGATGGCTGGGGTGTGCTTGGCAGTGCAAGCGTGGTTGGCCCCCTCACCTCCGGTGTGAACCACAGAGCTGAGGAACCATCCCACCACAGGGCTGTCTTGGACCCTCACCACACCCTACCCCAGGTCACTCACTCCCGTGCCAGCTTCTGCGGCTGGCCCATCATGCCTTTGTCGCCACTGCTCTGGCTGAAGTAGTCCCAGAAACCCTTCCGTGCCTGAGTGGTTGCAAACACTGAAGAGAAGGATGAGATGATTAAAGGCCGGGCCCCTCAGTCCCACCTCCATCCCAGCCCCACACTGCAGTCAGATGGAAGACCCACCTGAGAGGAGGGCCAGGGCCCAAGTGGTGATTGCAGCCATGCTTACCACGATACCACACCCTGAGGAGAAAAGTAGATGGAGGCTTGAACAGGAGGCGAGGCAAAAGAAGGGCCTGGATCTAGGAACCCTGCTCTAGGGGCTACCTGCCCCAAATCCTGATACCCCTTCTGTCATGTGTAGGTAGCATCATGTTGAAGGCTCCAGAGAACCTAACTAGGTACTTGGGGCATGGGGTTGGGGCTGGGAGGGAAGAGATGTCTTCCTCAGACAACAGGAGTGGGTTGCTCCTTACCTCAGTCCCAACGTTGGGAGCCTGGAACTCAAGCTGCACTACAAAGATTACCCACCCACCTTGGGGCGATCTAGTTCCCTTCTTTGCCTGTCTTCCTGCCTCAAATCCCATTTTGTGGCTGAGAAACTGGCACACCCAACATGCAGGAGGCAGGCACTCGGTTAGCCCATACCAGCAGCTCTCCTACAATGGCAGCCCCCCCCCCCCCAGCACCTGCCCCTCACCATTCCTCTGCCATACAGGCTCACCTGCTCAGTTCTGGGCACAGAGGGCAGACATCCTGCTTTATACTCCAGGAGTCTGGGACTGTGACAGCAATTGCTCTAAGCAAATACCACGTGGAGGTTCAAAGAAGGATGACCCCAGCTGGCTCCTAGCACTCACCTTTTCCCCTTCTGGTGCTCTGAAGGTTAGTAAGCTCCCTAGCCTCAGGAGGCTGCCCCAGTAGGGAAGTGGCTTCCCGGAGCCTTTACTAAGAATGGGCAGAACTCACCCCCCAGGTGCTGTGACCTCCGACCTCCCTACTTACTTGTTGACTATGAGGCACTACTTGTTTGTCTACTGAGGGCCCTGCTCTTACTCAATTCCCAGGGCACTCTGCCCTAGCCAGCCAGCCAGAGGAACAGCATCCAGGACTGGCCAGAACCAGGATTGGCAGCCTGGGAAAGGGCAGCATTTCTAGGCCTACAGACCAGACCCTCCTGGCTCTCCGTTCAAGAAATAATCCAGGATTGAGAGGAGCCAAGTCCAGTTGAAAGTGGGTGGGTAAGCTGCATCGGGGTGTGAGACTTTGGGCCTCAGGAGTTAGTCAGAGGAAGGATTCTCCCCCAAAGGGAAAGTTGGGCTCCACCCCTCTGGGCTTCTGAGGAGGGGAAGCCTGGAAGCCCAGATTTGTCTCTTACGACGAGTTTCCTCCATATGCTTGCACAGACACACCTGAGTGCTTCATCCTTACCCTTCAATGCTCCAGACGTTCTTAGTCCCCCCCCCCACACACACTCCCTTCACACACTGTCACAGCCGCAATTGTGTCTCCCCTTGACTGCATTCAGAACCTCCTGCAGCTGCACTTCTGCTTCTCGCATCCATTCTCCGCTGTGACCCAGTTCAGCCCATGTCCCTTCTCTCCACACAAAACCTTGGCCATGCCCTGAGCTCCTTACTTCTCAGCCCCTGTACCAGGCATGTACAGGGTATGTATGCCTATAATCACAGCACTGGGGAGCCAGAGGCAGGGGGATTTCAAGTTTGAGGCCAGCCTGGGCTGCAATGCAAGGTCTGATCTCAAAAACAAAAACTAAAACAAGAAAAGAAGAAGAATCTGCAGAAACCACCACAGTGCCAGCACTTCAGTCTTTGAAGAAAGGATGAAGTCCGTTGATAGAGTACTTACCCAGCATGCACAAGGACCAGAGATTGCTCTCCAGCATGGTGGCACGTGTCTGCAATCCTGAGACAGGGAAAGTGAAGGGAGGGACATGAGAGGAACGGAACTCATTCTAGAATCTGAGTGAAGCCTCTCAGCTGAGAAGCAAAAAGACATACACAATTACCATTTGCTACAAAGGCGGCTTATATAGCTAGTATTCCTTTCATATATGGATGCTTTATGTTAAAAGAGACGTAGATATAGTCTTGAGCAGGGCCTCATCGCTTTCCCCAGACACTACCTAAAAACTTCAAACAACACCATTTACAATAAAAGTATCCTACCTTTCTGTATTCCCATGGGCTATATTTTTTAGTTATTGATTGTAATACTATCAGGTACCCCTCAGGAACCATCCAGTGACAAGATAGTAACTTCGAATCTCACCAAAGTCCTAGATATGACTCCTGTAAAAACAATGAGCCATGCCGCTCCCTCGAGGAGCCCATATCCACACTTGAGCGTGTCTTATTTTTTTTCTGAACACTTCTCCTAATAGTCATGCTTTAGCTTGTATTATAATGTCTTTTAGTAAACTTCCAGTCCAGTTCTGCTTTACTGTATCAACTAGTCTTGAAATTTTATTTTTTTCTTTTTAAGAGTATTTTTTTAAGTATCTATGTATATATGCCTGTGTTTCTGGGGGGGGGGGGGCATGGTTCAGAAGACCAGAAGAGGGCATCAGAACCCCTGGAACTGGAGTTACAGGCAGTTATGAGCTGCCCAGTGTAGGAGCTGAGACCCAAACCCAAGTCCTCCGCAAGAGCAGCAAATGCTCTTACCTGCTGAGCTGTCTTTCCAGCCCCCAGGTATTCTGAGGCTTCATCTCTGCACTGAAGACTTCTGTGCTTGAAACACATGGAGTAGCTTCTGCTTTTCTGTCTGAACCTAGACAAATGGGAAGGGTGAATGTGAGGCATAGTCATTTGCCAGAAGCTCATGGCTTCAGTATGGACGTGTTTAGGATGATTGGAGGTATGTGTGTATTTGTTTTATGATGTGTGTACATAAAAATAGTTTTTATGACTAAAAATGATCAAATATTGGCAATTTCATGTGGTGCTATACAACAAGGTATATTCATATGCAATTTAGTGTATCTAATTTACTACAGTCTTCTTAGTACAAGGACCAGAACGTATTCCAAAAGCAGGGTTGCTAAAAATATACATATTGATGATGGGACTGCTTTGGACAACAGGGAACTAAAATATTAGACCAAAGTAATGTAGAAAACAGGAAAGGACAGATCAAAGCTAGAGTATTCTCCAGGCTTGCATTATCCAGGGAGAAGGCAGGGGTATTGATCATCTCTCACTTTTTACGCCAGGCAACATTATTAAAGTTTTAAAGAGAATCCATTAAATGAGTAGAAAGAAAGAATAACTTTCAAACTGGTAGATGGGGAAAGACTAAAGAGCATCAGGTTGACCTCTAGTAAAGGATGACGGATTGATCGCATGCACTCACCTCGAGCTGTTTCCTGAAAACCCAATAAAATGTCCATTAAAGTGCTCTTGTTAAAAATGCATAAATCCATGAGGAGGATAGAAAAGGAGACAAAAGCAACAACATTTTGGAAACTGTAAAACTGCTAGGCAGTCAAACAGGAGTTACTGGGAACACCGGAAATGATGGCTTTTGAAGCAGCAATCCAGAAACACATATTTGCTGGTTTTGCCTGCTCATACTCCTCCCAAAGTTTAGAGACAGCAGGAAAAGATTCTTCTGGAAGTATAATGGTGCTAACAATGCAGCCACTGGCTCAAAACATGTTGGAGAGACAGCTGTCTCCTTTGGCTCTGCTTAGTAAGGTCCCTCCACCAGAGCAACAGAAAACTAGTGGCCTGTCTTCTGGATGTCTCACCTATAGAGACAAGGTATGATGGATGGTGGTGGTGCATGCCTATAATCCTAGCACTCCGGAGGCAGAGGCAGGCAGATCTCTGTGAGTTCGAGGCCAGCCTGGTCTACAGAGTGAGTTCCAGGACAGCCAGGACTACACAGAGAAACTCTGTCTCAAAAAACAAAAGATGAAAACAAGCTTCTACAGAAGATCAGGTTCTTATACACAAATGGAAACTTTATTTATTAAAGCTATATGGCTGGATGTGGTTCAGTTGGTAGAGTGTATGCTTCGTATGCACAAAGCCTTGGTTTGGTGAGGGTTAATTGTCAGGGTTACTTTCTCTCCCCATCTAAATATTTTCTATGTATGCTTAGCCATTGGCTATAGATAGCATTTAATTCTCTCCATAGCTACAGTTCTCAGATTGTTAAAAACCAAGGAGGGAGCATTCTGTGAAACCATGACACCATTATCACGTGTAAGAGAATTCCCAGTTTTCTACTACAGTCAAACATCAGTCCTAACCTTTCTCTACTTGTCTCTGTCTGATTGTTTTTGAGACAAGGTCCCTATATGTAGTTTTAATTGGCCTGGAACTCACAGCCCTCTAGTCTCAGGCTTCAAGTTAAACTGTTTCAGATAGGAATATTATGAGAGGGATGTGGGGACTTCACGTCACACCACACTGGAAGCCACGTCATGGCGAGTCTTCCCTCTTGCCTGTTTCTGGGGGGAACAGAAAGGATTGAAAATGCAAGAGAGACTTCTGTGCAAACACCTTTGTAAAACAATTTTTTGATAGGGAAAGGAGAAAGAAGGAGTGTGTATATGTTAGAGTTTGTGAGTTTGCATGCCATGGTGCACATGTTTAAAAAAACTTACAGGAGTTGGTTCTCTCCTTCCATTATGTGAGGCCAAACTCAGGTCCTTGTGCTCGACAGCAAATGCCTTGACCTGCTGAGCCACCTTGTCAGCCTGCAAGTACCTTTCCATATCCCAAATTCCTCAGTTGCCAAGAGTCTTGGAATCCTTTAGTCACCTTTAGGATGGTGACTCTGTCTCCTATTAAAGACAAAAGGTAGAACCGGAGAGATGGTTCAGTGGTTGAGAGCACTATCTGCTCTTCCAGAGGGACTCAGGTTCAATTCCCAGCACCCACATTGCAGCTCACAACTATATGGAACCCCAGTTCCTGGGCATCTGCTGCATATACATGCAAGTAAAATACCCCTAGGTATAGAATAAAATAATAATTTTTTTAACTTGGAGAGGGTGTTGAGACAGGGTCTCTCTACATAGCCCTGGCTGTCCTGGAGCTCACTATGTAGTTCAAGGCTGGCCTTGAACTCATAGAGATCTGCCTGCCTCTGCCTTCCAAGTACTGGGATTAAAGGCATGGGCCATCATACTTGGCTTATAATTGAACAGTTTTTAAAAGTTTTTTTTTTTTTTTGGTTTTTCGAGATAGGGTT